ATTTTGTCGGATCTGAAGAATATAGAGTGCTTTTTGCTGAGCTCATTGCCGTGCTCGCCTTCTTCTGAAGAAAATGATCTAGAACTCGAGTTACTTTAGGATATTTAATATTTTTCAGTCAAAAAGCAAAAATTCGCAGGCATGTGTTTTGTGCTCATTGGATTGTTTGTCACATAAGAAGCTTCTATCTACCTTAAAATCTATAACTTTATCTACCTTGAAAACTGAAGAAGTTAACATTGAAGATCGTGCTCAGAACGTTAGGCACCTCCACTCGTTCTTTGATCCAAAAGACTCAAATGTTCGAGCGAAAAACCAAGCAAAACGATTTTCACTCGCTTTCGCTCAACATTTATTTAAATCCATCCAAGTGATGTTGAACATCAACATCATCTTCATGTCCTCGACCCCGAAGCTCACATGTCAGCAACCAAACCATATCTGCCATTCATGATCTTTTTCAATTTCAATGACCCTTTTGCAGAACTGCGAGACGATCACTGCTCCCACTGTCCACCGGGCGTGCCCTGCAACCCATTGACCAAGGCCTGCTACAAAGGTAAGTGGCTGTTGGCCGATTTTCTTCACATTAGTGTTGCATTTGTGTCCCTGACTATTTTCAAAAACGCATCGGTTTCGAACACTTGATTTGGAGACACAAGTGCAGCACGCCGATCAAAGTGTGTTGCTGTTGATGGTCATTACCCTGCCAAACTTCCCCAATCCCCCGAGAACAAAAACCTGTCTCTATCATCAAATGCAAAAAAAACCACCAGAACTGGAACTCGCGTGTCATCGGTACTGAGACATGGCACATTGTGGAACATGGAACGATTATCCATCAATATCAGCAAAATGGACATGACTGATAATGCTCTCTTGCAGATCATCTAACTGTACATTCTTCCTAACCTGTTCATGTGAAATATGATGTAAATTGTGTGAAATAGCAACCAACATCTATTCCATTTATGGCGCTCAAGCAATCTGTCAAACAGGACTGATAATTTTTTCCTGTATATGTGAACTTTGTACTGGTTTCACAAGATTTCTTCTAGTTTAGTTGTGTACAAAGCCTACTAGGTTAAGGTGATGGTGGAGCTGTGGCGCTTACTGCTTGGATCATTGCATGCCGGTCACTCCACACCAACATGTTCACACTGATAATGTAATATACTTAACTCACAGCGAATTGTTTATTTTACAATAACAGATATGGTTACAACACCCGAAACACTAACCGAAACACAATCCGTGACCTCTTCTCAAATAACAAACGCTAGTTCTGCTACCACTCTAACACCTAAACAGGAATATACCACGGAGTCGGAGCAAAGCACACTTTTCACCACCGGCGAGGCATTCACCGAAACCCCGATTACAACCGAGGAAATCTTACATATCTATCCAATTACCACAACGACAGAGAAGTTCGTAACTGTGACTCCGCAATACTCCACCATAAAGAGTGCCATCGATCAAGTGGTTAAAACAGGAAATCAAACGGGAACTGCTAGCACTGAAAGTGCCTCAAAGTCCACGGAGCCTGAAGTCATCACCTTGGAGGTAGGTAAGTCAACTGTCGCCCAACCAACCGGAGAGGACTTGAAATACTCCACTCCCCAACCGGAGGAAACGACCTCAAGTGTTCCCAAAACTACGCGCCATCTGGAGTGGACTAGTGAAATCTCCACCAAACCTTCTTCCACCAAGGAAGGTCTACCCAGCCACCCGCCAACAACACCTTCGACTGTTATCTACACAACCTTGGGCGATTTAGTGGCTGAACCGTCAGATACCACGTTCGAAGGTGGCACTGCCAGTACAGCCACTAGCAGAACTGTAGCGCTCACTGCCACACAGCCTACAGAGTTATCAGGGGCTTCAGATAAAACAGCCTCAACTCCTAGTCAAAGTACTACGGAGAGGCAAGAGAGAGTTTCCACAGGCCTACCTGAAGCCTCAACAACTAAACGGACAACTGTGACCTCAACGCCAGAAGCTTCTACTACTCCTCTATATGAAACTTTTGAAACAACGTTTCATCAACTGTCCCGAACAGAGAAAGACCAGGTTGCTGCAACTGTCGCAGTGCCTGAAGGGTCTGCAAGCCCAACTACGGAAGGACACTCTCTGCCACCAGGCCCTGCTGAACAGGAATTCACTACAGAATTTACTGAACCTACTAAGGATCAAGCACTGAGTAGCTCCGGGTATATCACTCAAATTACTCAAACTACTCCCGCAGCTGTTGTGCGAGATGGTCAAAAGGAAACATCTCATGTTGGGGAGACTACAGAAGGTAAAATCGGAACAACTCAGCAGACAATTGCTTCTGAAACTGGCGGAAGCACAGAAGGACTTGGTGCATACACGCCTACAGAACCAACAGCCCCTAGTGCAGAAACGGCAACGCCTACAGAACGTTTAAGGCAAACTACTACTGCGTCTGTAGTGCCAGATGATCAAACGGAAACATCTCATGTTGGGAAAACTACAGAAAGCAAAATTGGAACAACTGAACAGCCACTTGCTTCTGAAACTGGCGGCAGCACAGAAGGATTTGCTGCATACACGCCTACAGAACCAACAGCCCCTAGTGCAGAAACGGCAACGCCTACAGAGTATTTAAGACAAACTACTCCTGCGGCTGCTGTTCGAGATGATCAAACGGAAACATCTCATGTTGGGGAAACTACAGAAGGCAAAATTTCAAGAACTCAACAGCCAATTGCTTCTGGAACTCACCGCAGCACAGAAGGAATTGGAACAAACACTCCTACAGAACCAACAGCCTCTAGTGCAGAAGCGGCATCGCCTACAGAACGTTTAAGGCAAACTACTACTGCATCTGCTGTGCGAGATGATCAAACGGAAACATATCATGTTGGGGAAACTACAGAAAGCAAAATTGGAACAACTGAACAGCCACTTGCTTCTGAGACTGGCGGCAGCACACAAGGACTTGGAGCATACACGCCTACAGAACCAACAGCCCCCAGTGCAGAAACGGCAACGCCTACAGAGTATTTCAGACAAACTACTACTGCGTCTGCTGTAGGAGATGATCAAACGGAAACATCTCATGTTGGGGTAACTACAGAAGGTAAAATTGGGACAACTGAACAGACACTTGCTTCTGAGACTGGCGGCAGCACAGAAGGACTTGGTGCCTACACGCCTACAGAACCAACAGCTCCCAGTGAAGAAACGGCAACGCCTACAGAACGTTTAAGGCAAACTACTACTGCGTCTGTAGTGCGAGATGATCAAACGGAAACATCTCATGTTGGGGAAACTACAGAAGGCAAAATTTCAATTGGAACAAACACTCCTACAGAACCAACAGCCTCTATTGCAGAAGCGGCGTCGCCTACAGAACGTTTAAGGCAAACTACTACTGCATCTGCTGTGCGAGATGATCAAACGGAAACATATCATGTTGGGGAAACTACAGAAAGCAAAATTGGAACAACTGAACAGCCCCTTGCTTCTGAGACTGGCGGCAGCACAGAAGGACTTGGTGCCTACACGCCTACAGAACCAACAGCCCCTAGTGCAGAAACGGCAACGTCTACAGAACGTTTAAGGCAAACTACTACTGCGTCTGTTGTGCGAGATGATCAAACGGAAACATCTCATGTTGGGGAAACTACAGAAGGCAAAATTGGAACAACTGAACAGCCACTTGCTTCTGAGACTGGCGGCAGCACAGAAGGACTTGGTGCCTACACGCCTACAGAACCAACAGCCCCCAGTGAAGAAACAGCAACGCCTACCAAGCATTTCAGGCAAACAACTTCTGCCACTGTTGTGGGAGATGATCAAACGGAAACATCTCATGTTGGGGAAACTACAGAAGGCAAAATCGGAACAACCCAACAGCCAATTGCTTCTGAACCTGCCGGCAGCACAGAAGGACTTGGGGCATACACGCCTACAGAACCAACAGCTCTCAGTGCAGAAACAGCAACGCCTACAGAGTATTTCATACATACTACTCCTGCGGCTGCTGTTCAAGATGATCAAAAGGAAATATCTCATTTTGGAGGAACCACAGAAGTAAAACGTGGCACAACTCAACAACCAATTGCTTCTGAAACTGGCGGCAGCACAGAAGAACTTGGGGCATACACGCCTACAGAACCAACAGCTCCGAATGCAGAAACGGCAACGCCTACAGAGTATTTCAGACAAACTACTCCTGCGGCTGCTGTGCGAGATGATCAAAAGGAAATATCGCATTTTGGAGGAACTACAGAAGGAAAACGTGGCACAACTCAACAACCAATTGCTACGGAAACTGGCGGCAGCACACCAGGATTTGTAGATTACACTACTACTGGCGAGACAGTCCCCAGCACTAAATCGGCAACTTCTACAGCATTTCCATCGCAAACTGCTGCTGCAACTACTATGGAGATTGGGCAACCTACAGAAGGAAGGCTTGGCACAACTCAACAGCCAATTTCCTCTGAAACCAGCAGCAGCACAGAAGAACTTGGTACATACACTACCACAGAAACGGCATCGCCTATAGAGTTTTCACCTGCACTGGAAGGGCAATCAACTTCTCGAACTTCCACCGCTTCTTTGCCACCTACAGTTTCTGGGGAAGTAACAAAACCAGTTGGTCCAACTACAACTGAACATTCCTTACCTGAAAGCTCAGATCAGCAACCGACTACAGCGACAGCCCACCATACTACTGAAGTGGACTCTTATGAAATCAGGCAAAGTACAGTGGCATCAGGGCAACCAACGACTATCGAAGAAAACGAAGCTGTTTCCACCACACCAGGAACTTTGGTTGCATCGTCTACAACGCCCTGGGGAACTACTGAGCAAACTTCGCCCCAATCTGAAGCTGTTACAGCTTCAACAAAAGCAAGCCCAGAGCTGGTAGCGGCAACAACAGGCACGACCTTTGAAAGTGAGTTCGTTACCACACAGTATCCCACTCAACAGTCCAAAGCAACAGAAAAAGGGGCCAAGATTCCAGAGTCCAGTTCAGGAGAACCTACTGAAGGTTTAGAACTGAGTACTACTGGGGTTGAAGCTGAGCAAACTGCTACTGAGGGAATCATCCCCAGCTACACAACAACTTATTCAATGAGGACTGAAGGAGCTGAAACTAGGCATACAACTGAATGGGACAATGGCAAAAGTGAAACGACAAGTAGCTTAGCTACTGAAGCCACGCTTGTAACCGGTTCTACCTCGACAGCAACTACAGAATACATTCCGACTACCCGAGAAGCAACAGAAAGTGAATTGAGTGCGTCCACTAAACCAGCAGTATTTGAAACCTCCTCAGATCAAACTTCGCATTTCTTTACTTCTCCAATTGTAACGTATGTTTACGAGCAAACTTCCATCAAATCTTCAGGTTCAACCTCTCCAGTTTTTCCTGAATATAGTTCTGAAAGCCTGGTAACTGAAACTGGAACTGAAGCATATTCACACACGCCGATCTCCTCTATCACCGGCCAGAACGTACAAAGTACCACTCCTGAACAAGAATCAACAGCGAGTGAAAAAACCGAAAAGAGCGAGTTGATGGAATCAACAAAGGAATTAGCAAAAGAAACTACCACACAGATGATTCTCACCACTGAAAAATTGTCGCGGTCTTCATCAGCTATGGAAGAAGGCACCAGTACTGCATTTACTCCTGAAGAAGCATCAGAAGGCTCCTCTGAACGCGTTCCAGGAGTTCCAACTGTTGAAGGAATAGCTAAGGAAGCCACAACATTAGCTCACGCTACTAGAACTACAACGCCAGCTTTTAGTGCTGCTTCTGAAGCAGGGGGAACATCAACTTTCTCATTTAAAGAAACTTCTGAGTTTGGCCCAGAAACATTCTCAACAACTGAAGAATTGGCGAAGCAAACAGCGACTTCCAGTTATAGCTCTGAGGGACCTTTACAGTATACCACGCCTGCTGAAGCTCCGTTTACTCATGGCACAATGGGTGAATCAATGATAACTTCAACAGCTTCTTCCAATCAATCTACTACACTAGGATTTGTCACTGAAAAGGCTTCAACTACCTTGGAAGCGGAAGTTTCCAGTAAAACAACCACCGTAGTTCCAACGACAGAAACAAAGCAACTATCCACAGAACACCCCGAAAGGGTTTCAGAACTCACTCCCGGGGAATTCTCAACTTTAGCGTCTGCTACAGAAAAACCTTTAGAGAACTCCAAGCCCTCCAAAGCCACCTACGCTGATACTACAACATTGAAGGCCGAGGAAGCATCAACCGTTTCTACCAAGAGTGTCTCTGAAGTAACGCTGCAAATTTTTTCAACTACACAAGAACTTGGACAGGAACAAACCACATTGCGTTTTACCACAGAAAAATCTTCCGAATATTCACCGTTACCTTCAGGGTCACCTACAGGTGCAACAGGAACAAGTACTTATGAAGGAACGACAGTGTCTTCCTCTGCAGAATCAACAGTCTCTTCTAAAGAAGCGTCCGAGACCAGCTCAAGTGAGGTTCCTCCAGCTGAAACCACCCAAACTTCAACGTTACCATCTAACGAAGCATCTAAAACTACACCAGAGAAGCTCCCAAGTGAGGAGCTTGAAGAAAAGTCAACTAAATCGGCATATACTACTGAGAGTTATTCACAGTATTCAACCTCTACTGGTTCAACCGGGTCTGATGCTTTTGAGGCTTCAACTACTGAATCAACGCACACGACAGCAACATCAACAAAAGAGCCCTATGAGACTCCAGGAGTAATTTCAACAATGCAAGGAATAGAAAACGAGGCAACGACTCAACAATACGCAACTTCTGCAGAGGCTGGTGTCACTGAGACTGTAGAAGCCATTCAAAGCCCTACAGTACCAGCAATGGAAGCATCTGAACCTGAAAACTCTACAATCCCAGGCGAAAAGCATGCTACTGAAGAGTCAACACTAACAACCGCTGCTGGTACGGAAAATGCAAGAGTTGCAACTTCAACTGTGGCTCCAACTACTGAAGAAGTCCAGAGGTCTACGTTGCACACTACAACTGAACATTTGGCATCAACTACTGGAATTTCTTCTCAATATTCAACTTCAACGGAAGCTGGCTTGACTGGTACAACCAAACCCAACGCTTATGAAACCACGTTTACAACTGCGCCGAAGTCCAGCCCTGGAGGCTTATCAACTGTCCAGGGACTTGAAAGAGAAACAACCTCTTCTGGACCAGCATTCTACACCACAAGACTTCCAGATGAATCGCAGACTACTGAGGAAATAACCACGAGTTCTGCTGAGTCTTCTGAGCATCCTTCTACATCCAGCACCGGTGGATTTTGGACAGTTCAGCAAACAGGCAAGATTTCTACAACTGCTGAAGAAGGTTGGGAAACCACTGAGCGAATGATTAGCTCTGCACCTTCCACTTGGACGCCTACAACGGGATCGACTGAATCCTCTGAAAGAACCTCAACAAACGGACCGTCTACGGAAATGCCAATTAGCTTCGAACCAGACTTTGGAACTAAGGAGCCTTCAGCCACTGAGTCAACCAAACTCACTACCCCGGATCAGAGCACTGTTTCCAGTGGAACAAGAGCTTCGTCCATCGTGGAAGCCACTACTAAAGTTTCAGAAGAATCCATCGCACCAACTTCTGGTGGTGCTTCAGAAATCTCTTCCAGAGAGCCTGAAACTACCAGAAGGATCACTACTGAAGAACAACCCAGTTATTCCACCACAGTTGAGGACACGAAATCTACTTTAGCCTACCCGGCCAGCACTTCTGAGGCTGTAGAGCCTACTATACAACCATTACCTGGAGTAACTTCAACTACTGAAAGTGAGGGAAGGGGGTCGGAGTATTCCACTGCTGGAACAATCAGTACTATCTCTACATTGGGTGAAAGTACGACATTTATGTCCCCTGGAACAGCTGCAGAGCACGAAGTGACTACTGGTTTAGAGGTGGAATATGGGACTGTCACTGTAGGAGTAGGAACAACTGCATCTTCAGCTACAGGTGAAATCTTACCTAACGCTGCCACTGAAGAGCCTGTGAGCGAAGGTGGAAGTACGGAATCTACCCAGGGAAGTACTGCGGAAAGATCCACTAGTAGAACTGCTGAGGGCATGTTTGCTAATAAGGGAACTAGCCCGAGTCCACACGAGCCTACCACAGGTTACACCACGCTCGTGTCTACAGAGAAAAGCAGAGAAACCCCTGCCCATCAACCTTTCAGTACATCTAGAGAAACAACTACTGGCGGTGAAGGTTCAACCACTTTTGGCGCCACAGCGGCTCCAAAGTTGGTGACTGAGAAACCGTTTGTAGGTACTCAGAAGACGTCTGAGAGCACTGAGGAGCCATTGACGAAGTTAGCTACTGAGCAAATAATCACTGAAAGACTCACAACAGAAGTCGGGGAAACCACTACTGGATCCGGAAAGCAAAATGCAACCTCTGATCTTCCAGAAGGCATAACAACGGAAAATGTTAGCGCTTCTTCTGAAGCTGCCAGTGGGACAACGGCGCACGCTTTGCCGCAAGAAACTCTTTCGTACAGAAATAAGCAGAATGGGGATGAGTTTACTACGTACTATCCTTCGACCCTGTCTCCCACTACTGAGAAGTACTTTACGGTCTTTGAAAAGGAATCTTCCAGCTCGGGTAGGATTCCCTCCATGGATGCACTCATGCCAACTGGCGCGTCCTCCTGGCGTGAAAACCGCACAACCCCAGCTCCTCCTAGTTATACTGCAACTATGGAGACTGCAGCCGGTTTCACTGTTGAAGCAGTTACAGTTAAGTTCCCGCAGACTGGGATTCCTCCAGTTTCAACCACTGGAAGGCCAATGGAAATGTCTCAGCAACCCCCCGGTAGAACATTCAATCCAGTGGAAACTTCTACGGCAACAACTCCCTTGGTTCACTCGATCACTTTCACTACCCCTACTGGGGAACCGGAGCTGAGCACCACTGAAAGCTATAGGGAAACCACCACCATCAAGTATCTGGGGGATGTTTCCACGTTCAGCACGGTGCTTTCAACTAAAGAAGTGGAGGAAATTGTGACTTTGGGTAGAACTACCATCAACATCGGCCAAAACGAGGTGGTGGAAGTCACAACTCCTGCCTATACCATGCAGGAGGCCGCTTCTACTACCGAAAGTGCACGCGGAGGCACTGAGGCAGTCAGACATACTGTTCAGATGTCCACTGAGCAACTGGAGGAATTGACCACTGTGGGAACCACTACGGTCAGCAAAGTGTCGCAGCATGAGGAGACCACTCAACAATCGGAGCTCAGAGAGCCTACGGATTATTCTACTGAAGCACTGGAGATTGCGACGGAACCTACTACACTTTCAGCCACAACTGAACCAGTTTTAACCACAACGGTTGTAATCGCGACCAATCACAGTGTGATATCGATTAGCAATTACACCAATGGAATAACAAATCGCACGGTAGAATGCCTCGTCGACAATGATTGCGAAGACGCGGACGTCTGTATATTTAAAAAGTGCATTAACGTGTGCACTATCGGAGGGTTATGTGGTGCTAACGCCAAGTGTACTGCAGAGAATCATGCAGCTGATTGCACTTGCCCGCCTCACCATTACGGGGATCCTCACAGGATGTGCTATCCAGGTATTGTAATATTACTCAAGTTGCAAGCTGATTTCCGTGCCATTGTGGCAGCGGAAACTGAGATTTATGCTACTTATCAAAAGCGAAAGTTTGGCGAGAATTTCCAATCCGGTTAGAAGGACCATTTTTTGCCGTTGAGTTATTTGCGTGGGCCAGAAAAATCTCAGTGTCCACTCCCACTATGCGAACGTTCAGAAGGTATCATTGATTTGTATGATTTTTGTATGTAAACAGTTGTAATTCTAGATTGATTTAACCATTTAGCACAATGTTAATCAATTACAGTTACGGTGAGCTGAAGGGTGGCGCTCCTCCCTCCAAGCCACAGACTCTGAGATTGCTTCAAAGCCAAACAAGTCCTTTGAGGAGCGCCAACCTTTTTTGCATGGTTGTGGTGTGCTGATAAACAAAATAGTACAATTAATGTAAATACCGCGCTACATTTCAGCAACGTGAAAGACCCCTTAAGCCCCCTTAAAGCTCATGTTGCATTAATGTACTAAACTGTACTAATTCAGTTAACATTCCTAATAGAACCACCTGGCGAAAGGGCGCCCAAACCTTGCGAGTCTGATATGGACTGTCTCGAGTCAGAGGCGTGTTACATGTCCATTTGTCAGGATCCGTGCGAATTTACCAGTGCCTGTGCGGCAGGGGCGCGTTGTCAAGCTAAAATGCACCGGCCCATTTGCACTTGTCCAATGGGATTTGAAGGAAACCCGGCTATTAAATGTTCCAAATCGCCCACAAGTAAGAGCGCCTTCGTTTTGCCAAAGAGCCATGCTGCCAGTCATGGACTGTTCCACCACTTTAGCCTGATAAAGGTCATCTGATTGGGTAACCGAACGCAAAGCGAGGCCCCTTGAACATTTTCCCACTCCCCTTTATCACCAGCTTTCTGTTGATTGAGTGGAGGCTGGTCTGAATTGAGCACGCTCCACTTTGAGATATGAGAAATAGGCCGCGCCTCGTCCTTAATCATTGCTCAAGTTGCGGAACACCCATAACTCAGCATGGCCCCCAGATGTACATATACGAACAATGTGTCAACGCCAGCAACAATTGACTAAAGACCAAATAAACCAAGTAATGATTAATCAACCAATAACAGTAACGTTTAACCCCGTTTTGAAAAGCTTCAAAATTAGTACAAAAGTTCCAGCCAGTTAGCATCTCGCATAGTTTGGCCCATTCTCTATGTAAATACGTTGATGTAAATTCGATGTTCTTCTTTGTTGGGCGCTGTATTTCCCCAATGTTTAATGTAAATACTTATCTTACGTCTTTTGCGTCCTCTCCTCCGCACCTTCTTCATTAGTGGGTTGCACAGCAAACGAGGACTGTCCTATTAGTGAAGCATGCATAGATAGAGCATGCCAAAGACCTTGCGATGTCCATAATCCTTGCGCGCAAAACGCCGTTTGCATCAACACCAACCACGGATGCGACTGCAGCTGCCAGGAGGGATACCAAGGGAATGGTTTCGTCGGTTGTGCACCTGGTGAGGCACAGTACGGCGTAGGCTCGGCCTGTTCACTACCCCTGAAATTTCCAGTTGCCGATAACGGTCCCCCAGTTTGCCAATACAACGAGGACTGTCCTCCGAATAAACTCTGCGATCGTTTGAACAGAAGATGCATGAATCCCTGCTTTGAAGACTCTTGCGGAGAGAACGCGGAGTGCGTTCCCAAGAACCATGGGGCGACTTGCGTCTGCCTGCCAGGTCAGTTTAGTGTTTCCCACTTTACTAGCCCAGTCAGTGAGTAATTTGGTTATTGCCTACTAGGCTATGAGGGAAACGCCTACGTGGAGTGCCTAGGAGTCTTAGGATGCAGACGCGATGAGGAGTGCGCTTCTAACGAAGCCTGCCTCAACCAGCAATGCGCCTCACCATGCAACTGCGGAATCAACGCCATATGCGACGTGATCCAGCACAAGCCCCAATGCCAGTGCCCCCCAGGGTATCAAGGCGATGCGCGAGTGTCTTGCCAACCGCCCTCTGATCCATGCGACCCCAACCCATGTGGCACCAACGCGCTTTGCGAGCTGGACAATGGAAACCCCATCTGCTTCTGCCCGAAGGGCCTCACTGGAAACCCATTCAAGAACTGCAGTATGTTTCCCTTAAAATCGCCCCCCTACAAGTGTACTAGCGCTTTGTTTCCAGTTCCAGAAGGCGATGAGTGTTCCCCGAATCCTTGCGGCCCCAACTCCGGCTGCCGAGTGGTTGGAGGAAACGCCGTCTGCTTCTGCCTGCCGGAGTTCGAAGGCACGCCCCCCCAAGTGCCATGCAGTTTGCCCAGCAATCCATGCGATCCGTCGCCCTGCGGGCCCAACACTCAATGCTCCATATTGGCCAATGGCTTTGCCAAATGCACCTGCCTGCCTGGTTTCCTGGAGAGTCCCAACACCATCAGAGGTTGCATCGAGAGCAGAAACCCTTGCGAGCCCAACCCGTGCGGGGCTGGCGCCCTTTGCGACCCGCACGGGGAGCCTGTGTGCTCTTGTCCCTATGGAACTAATGGAAATCCCTTCCGGGGCTGCGCCATTGAGAAGCCCTTGTGCAGTCCGGGGCCTTGTGGGGCTAACGCGGATTGTTACAACTCCAACAACGAGGAACAATGCTTTTGCCGGTCTGGATTTATTGGGGATCCCTACACTGGCTGTAGGATTCAGCCTCCGAGTCCTTGTGTGCCGAATCCTTGCGGCCCTGGAGCGCAATGTGTGATCACTCCCGATGGAAACTCTTTGTGCCGCTGCCCGGAGGGCATGGGAGGTGATCCGACCGGGCCTCTCGGTTGCTTCGGCTATGAGTGCGTGGTGGATGAAAACTGTGGCGATCACCAGGCCTGCATTTCGTACAGATGTCGGGATCCTTGCCCAGGCTCGTGCGGAGTAAACGCCGATTGCCGCGTGGAGAAACACCATCCTGTCTGCTCTTGCCAGTCTGGGCTAACGGGAAATCCTGTGATTAGGTGCTTCAAGATACCGGAGATTCTTCCGCCACATGACCCGTGCATGCCCAACCCCTGCGGGCTGAACACTGTGTGCCAGAGCATCTCCAATCGCGCTGTTTGCTCCTGCCTACCAGACTTCCATGGGGATCCGCAGATCGGCTGCCAACCCGAGTGTCTGATCAACTCGGACTGTCCGATTAACAAGGCGTGTTTGGAGCGACATTGCAAAGACCCGTGCTCGCAAGGACAGCTGTGCGGAGTGAACGCCTTCTGCCAAGTTAGAGACCATACAGCAGCCTGTCTGTGTTTGGAGGGATTTATCGGAGACCCGTTCTTGCAATGCATCCAACCTCCCATTGAAGACACACCCAAGCATACCAACACCTCGATCCAGCCCTGCACGCCTTCGCCTTGCGGCAGTATGGAGTGCAGCATCTATGGAACGCAGATTGCTGTTTGCGACCCGTGCTTGGGCCCGGAGGCCGTCTACAACCCTCAGTGTCGGCCGGAGTGTTTGACCAATGCGGACTGTCCGTTCCACCAAGCCTGTATGCGGTTCAACTGCATCGACCCATGTCCAGGCTCATGCGGAGTGAATGCTGTTTGCTCTGTGGTTTCGCATACGCCCATCTGTAGCTGTCCGTATGGACTGGTCGGAGACCCGTTCCAGCAGTGTGTTCCTCTTACGATTGGTAAGTTGTTTGGCCTGTTGTAGGAGTGCGTGCTTAAGAGTGATTTTCTCTTAGATTCCCCCAAGGACAGTTGCGACTACCCGCGGTGCGGAGTGAACGCCGACTGCCTAGAGAAAGGAACCGGGGTGATCTGCGTTTGCAAGCGGGGCTTCTTCGGAGACCCCTATCTGGCCTGCCGCCCCGAATGCGTTATCAACCCCCATTGCCCATTGGACAAAGCGTGCATAAACGCCAAATGCTCCAGCCCTTGCAGCGATGTGTGCGGAGTGGGCGCTCAATGCGACGTGGTCAACCACATCCCCATCTGCTCCTGCCCCCCTCAACATACAGGAGATCCGTTTGTGGCCTGTTACAAGGCTGTAATCCCCAGCCTACCGGCGCCGGCGCCTCAAAACCCTTGCGACCCGACGCCTTGCGGCCCCTACAGCCGCTGCTCGGTTTCGCATCAAGGATACGCCACCTGCTCTTGCCTGCCCAACTACCAGGGCGTAGCCCCCGCTTGTAAACCCGAGTGCATTTCAACATCAGAATGTCCCCAAACGAAGGCCTGCATTAATCTGAAATGCGGCGACCCGTGCGCAGGCACTTGTGGGTCTGGAGCGGTTTGCACGGTGATCAACCACAACCCGATCTGCAGCTGCCCAGAAGGACTGGAGGGCAATCCGTTCTTGAACTGCCGCCAAGCGCCCGTGGTGGAAGAACTGCCATCTACAACTGAGGAACCGATAAATCCATGTGTGCCCACTCCGTGTGGCCAGAACTCGATTTGCCAGATAAAGGAGAGCCGGCCAGTGTGTTCCTGCATAGCGAATTACATTGGCAGCCCGCCCTATTGCAGGCCGGAATGCATGCTCAGTCAGGAGTGTCCTCAACATCAAGCTTGTGTGAACGAGAAATGCGTAGATCCGTGCGTGTCCAGCTGCGGACCGAATGCTCAGTGCCATGTCGTGGGGCACAATCCGTTCTGTAGCTGTTTATCTGGATATGAAGGTATGTAGCAACGTGCTTGGAGTGTGGACTAACGGGTGGTTTATTTATCAACACCGCGATGCTTTGCAGGCGATGCTTTTGTCGGCTGCACCAAAGTGGCTGTGGTGGCTGTAGACCCGTGCAACCCATCGCCCTGCGGGGAGAATTCCCAGTGCTCTGTAAGCGAGGGAGCGGCGAAGTGCGTCTGCATTCCCCCCTACATCGGAAACCCCTACTCTGGAGGCTGCAGGCCTGAATGCACCATCAACTCCGAATGTGCCACTCATCTGGCCTGTCTGTCGCGCCATTGCCGAGACCCTTGCCAGGGACTCTGCGGCATCAATTCCGAATGCAGCGTCTTCAACCACGTGCCAGTTTGCACTTGCGCCAGAGGCCTGGTCGGAGACCCGCAGACCGGGTGCAGGCCACCTGCAGTGGTCGAGAGTAAGCCACCTAATCAAAGAGTCCATACTTGACCAGCTAATTGTGGTACTTTAAGGGCCCAAGCCATGCGAGCCGTCGCCGTGTGGACCAAACAGCGTCTGTCGCGAACGCAATGACAAAGCAATATGTTCGTGCCAAGTGGGGTACTTTGGACAGCCGCCCAGCTGCAGGCCCGAATGCCTGGTGAGCTCCGAGTGCAGCTCAGACCAGGCCTGCATTAATCAGCGCTGCCAGGATCCCTGTCCGGGAACATGCGGCGCCAGGGCCCGATGCCAGGTTGCCAACCACAACCCGATTTGCAGCTGCCCGCCCAACTACGTCGGAGACCCTTTCATTGTCTGCAGACCAGAAGGTAAAAGGCTTCCTGAGCCCAGTGAACTGCTCAGCAGCTCAATGCATTTTCAGAGCGCGGGGAACCAACGCCCACTCCAACTCCATGCATACCATCGCCGTGTGGGCCGAACGCGGACTGCCAACCACTCAACAATCGCGCAGTGTGCTCGTGTCTTCCGGGGATGTTCGGCGTTGCGCCCAATTGCCGTCCAGAATGCTCCATTGACCAGGACTGTCCACTCACCTTGGCCTGCACCAATCAGAAGTGCAAGGATCCATGCGCGGGTTCTTGCGGCTTCAACGCCGAATGCAGCGTGGTCAACCATCGGCCCATCTGCAGCTGCCAGTCAGGGTTTGAGGGCGATCCGTTCTCCGGCTGTAATCCAGTTGCCGGTAAGTTTTTTGGGCATCTGCCGCAGTAGAGGGTTTTTT